TGAATAATTGACCAGTAATTTCGTTTCCTAAGGAAATTTCTATATTCATTGCAATTAGATAAATAAATCTTAGTTAAAAGATAGGTTTGTAATGTGCAAAATACATTTTTGTAAGAAAATAGTAGTTAACATGTTTCAATGCAGTAATTCAAGTAGCATCTAAATTTTACTTGGTATTACTCTTATATCTTTTATTGGTTCCGAAATTACAGATATAAAAAACGTTTAATCCTTTATATTTTTAATATTATTGCTTTTTCTTTCTTTAGTAAGCAATATTATGTACTAATTTACTTTAAAGATAAAATTTTACTGCAAATGTAATTAAAAATTAATTATTCTTTCAAAAATATTAATCTTTAAATATATATAAATCTATTGGCCTAATCATACAATATAATAATCATACTGATCAAAATCGAAAGATGGTATCAATAGAATATACTCAGGGTAATATTTCTGACATGTTAGTTCCAAATCAGTTCCATCACATTTTAACAATATTCATGCTTGAAGATAAAGTTCCCGATAAATGATACTAGTATAATATAACAGAAATATTTTTTAGAATTAAAGTGTATTGAATACTTACAAGTTTCCATATTTTCCCAATTATGATACGAGGGATATATGCACAAAATCATGAAATATTTTTACTCATTTAATAGATGTACTGTTTAATCTCGCAAATATATTAAAAATTTCAAAACATTAAAAACAATGAAAAAAGTATTGTACACTAATTTTTGATTACCAACAATTACAATAATAATTAGTGTGTGATAAATTGATATTTTAAAACAATATGGTAATCGATCAAGACTATACTTATACTATATACGTCCTCAAAACAATATTAGATAAATCTTCGAAATATTTAAGAATTTATACTATCTCTTATTATTCAAGGCGTTACATGCATAATACAAAGTTTAGAACGGATACATATTTTAAAACATTTGTAAATGTTTTTGTTAAATACAGTTAAATATTAATATTTGAAATCATACTTTTTTGACATATGTAACTATATTTTTTAAAATGATTTTTATTTTTATATAATCATTGCATACATAATTTTTTAAATGGAACTAGCGAAAAAAGTTATTCCATCGTAACAAGCATGAAATATCTAAAAATTTATCTTTCTGTATCATATATATGTATATAATGATCCATTATTTCATATGTAAAACTCCATGTACAAATTATATAATAAATGATATATATAATAGAACTTTTATAAAATTATATGTACAATTTAAGTTAGTAGTTTGATTAAGTAATACACATTGTATTAGTTTTTTTTTATATTTTTATTGAAAGAATACAATAATTATCATAGATTAAAAATTTTTTGGTAATATACCATCATTTTTTGCAAGTCGTACCAAACAATCATCAGATTCACCCTGAAAAAATTAAGAAAGCAGCTATTTTAAAAAAATGATAATTTCTACCAGTAATTACTACAACAGTAAATAACGTACCATACGACGAATAGCGCCACAAATTGCATACATCTTTTGAGAGTCAGTCATGCGTCCAGTTTCAGGATCAACATCAGCAATACTTAATTGAATAGATGCATGATCCTTGGCATGAATGATACGATTACTCGATGAGCTATAAAATACAATTTATGTAAGATTTATAGCCGATTTAACGTTAATTTATAGCTATATTTGCACTTTTTATTTAAAGAAGGGCATTGTTATATTATTAAAAACAGCAATCCACGTGTATCACATACCATTTTCTTGGTATGTACAAGTCAACAAGTACTCCGTTGTCGTTCTCCATTTTTATATCTGTAACAGAGTTTAAAATATATAATATACACTATATCTTGTACAGAATTATAACACTAGGAGCTTTTAAATTAAGATATACTCTTACTTTTGATTGCTAAATGTGCAAAGTAAAATGGCTCCGTACGCAAAAGAACTTTTCCGACAACAGTACGTATATATGTCAGAAACTAAAATCACGGTTACCAACATTGACAATAAGTCTCTATGTATTTCTAGAAATTCATATCATCAATAATAAATCTGGAAAGATTCGACAGTTGTCAGATGAGTGGAAAGAAATAAAGGGATATACAATTAAATGCAAATTAGATGTTATTCCTACAGAAGCAGAAGATTGGGATTCTGCAATTTGTAAAAGATTCGAAAGTTTAGTAAGAGTTGATGCGCCTGTGGAAGCCATTGTAATAGCAAATAGTGTTTCAAAACAAGTAGACTTGTTGGTAAAAGCGAAATGTTCAGTGAAATGTTAGTCGAAGATCATTATTTTGAAAATAGTGATACAGAAGAAGAATTAATAGATGAAATAATGGACCTTAAATTGGATCCCTATCCTGTTTTTGTATCTCACATTAACTCTCCAAATGAGTTTTGGGTTCAAGAACAAAAAACTATTGGTAATTTAGATATTATGAATGATAGATTTCTTTTTGCACATTTGTTTCCCAAAGTACATGAAATTAAAGAAAATTTATTGTGTGTTGCTAAATATCCTGAGGATGAATGTTGATATAGGGCGTGTGTTGTATCACACAGTGATAGTGTTATACAAGTTATACATATAGATTATGGAAATTCAACTACCGCAACCGAAATACGTGCTCTATCGTTAGAGCTTGTAGATGAACCTCCTCTAGCAAGAAAATGTCGTTTAATTATGCCAGAAGGGATTACGAAATGGTCAGAAAAAGCTTGTGAGGAATTTGTAAGATTAGCAGATGAAGGAGCAGTTCTATTTTTGTTAGATGTAATTGACGAAGGTAAAACATTATTGGTAAAATTAACAATAGAAGGTAAAAATGTAACAGATATACTTCTGTGAATCATAGAGAAACGATCATAGAGAAACGATTATCTCCCTTGGGTGAAGAAAATTCACCAAATGTATTTGTTAGTTGCATCAATTCACTTAATGAATTCTGGATTCAAGCAGAAAGCAACACTACAGACTTAAATATAACGTTAGAGAAATTACAAGCAGCACCTAGTTTCCTTCCATTAAGTATATTTGACATTGGTACTATTTGTGCTGCAAAGTATTTAGAAAATGGTCAGTGGCACAGGCCAAAAATTCTTTCACATTCTGAAGAAGGTACTGAAGTTCTGTGTATAGATTATGGCAACATAACGATTACAAACGAAACACGAACTTTACCCTTTATAAATATCCCTCCTTTATCGAAATGTTGTGCTATGAAAAAACCAAACAGTATAAATTCTTGGCCTTTAGATGCTTGCAAAATATTTGAAGAACTTGCTGCAGGTGGAAAAACAATGTTTCAGTTTGAGATTCTTGATGATATCAGTAATCTTCTTTCTGTTAAATTAAGTTTTAATGGGAAAAATGTTGCTGATATTTTAGTACCATTATATTTCTAGAAATTCAAATATATTTCTAATATATCCATATGAATACATATTAATCTGATATTAATTTTACAGTTTTTATGAATATAAACATAATATTTGTAAACAATATAAACATTTAATCGATTATATAATGTAATTAATATAATAAAGTAACATATGAAATGACTCGTAATATTTGTTTACAAAGCAATAAAAGAATAAAATATTTTTTAAAAATAGCAATATTTATAATGAGGAAAATTAAATATATAATGGGATATATCTATATTCAAATTAAAAATAAAAACGAGCAAAAAAAATTGCGCGTGACAAGTATCGCCGCCAAGCGGACATCGAAGGAAATATTCCTTGTCTATATTACTGTCGTACAGTTCCATCGGGCATTCGGTGACTTGAAGTCATCCGGTAAATTATGATCCTTTTATGATGTGCCTTTGTATTTCGTAAACACGGTGAGGTGTGTTAATGTTCTGTTGCGCGTGTTTAAACAGACTGTGATACGAAAGTGTGTCCGATGTTAAAACATGTACCGTTTATTATATACATATTACAATTAAAGATAACACACGATATCTAGCCGAAAGTATGCTCGATGCACTGCGATGCAATTACAACATCTACGTTAAGTGCGCTTATACTTTTTCTCATAATAACAACAAAACGTTAATCGCGTCAGTTCCAGCTACACGTGTTCATCGAACATGTCTATGAAGGTGAGCTTTTTTCTGTTAAAATTCAATTATATTTCACTCATTACCCAATGTATGCATTTTACTATATCTATATGTTTTGAATGAAACATTGCATGCCACGTTTTCGAATGCAATTCGAAATAAACAGAAATTACTATTTTAATGTAATTTCGAAGATACTGTATGATACAGCTATTAAATCGCACGTATACAATTTTTTTATACTCGAAGAAGCAACTTTGGATAATCGAGCAAAAAGTTTAGGCTTGAAATATTGTTTCTAGAATTTTAAATTGAAATCATCGTTTCAGAGAAAGATAATATGTACATTCTCCGAGGAAAACGTAATTAATTTTTTATGCTCACCATTTACATATTCATGAAAATTATCACGTACCATTAAAATATATATGTTTCATAAAAAAAAGTTTAATAAAAAATGACTTTGCTCGTGATCCTTTACGTGGCATGTATGCGCTTAAGAACATAAAACTAGATGAGATCAGATGAAATTTATGGCGGACTGATGTCACTTCTTAGCTGTGCAATAAGTTGCTAACACCTTGTCCTGTTTATTCTACGAACGAGTAAACACCGATTATGGGTTTTACAATATTTGAATATAACACGCGTATGAATAAATAATTTGAAATAGTCACGATCATAGATTGTAGCGATCGATTAAGACCACGGGAAATCTTTTTATGCATTGATTGTCGCGCTTAACACTGGATGACCTAGAAACATAAGTTAGTGATGCTAAACAACGTAACATTGCAATTTGATAAACTTACATGATTTATCCATCGCATAAAGAAATTATTTACGTAGAACTTGTTTTGTACAACTGCCTTTTAAATGATATATAATACGCGCTCTTTTTCAGAATGTTTTTAGTACCTCTTGAGAGCAGAATTTGTTTGCTCGATATTTGCTTGCCAACTCTGTCTGTCGATTTACATTTTAATTATGATCACGTTTCGTGATTTCATGGCGCACATGACGGATAAGCATTCTGTTTCGATTAATTCCGTTAATAGGTGCTCTCGCTGAGACCAACATTCGAAAGGTGTGTATGTATGCGTTCTAAAAATATTAAAAAGTTTCACGTGAAAACCAGAGAGAGAAATTGTGAAACACAGAGCATAGCTTGGTAAGATGCGATTTCAGTTACAGTCGAACAAGTTTAGTTCATCTAGCGTCCCTAATTATGATTGCTTAATCGATACGTGGTTGACAGGAGACCATAAAAAAAATATTCTTTTGGTAGAAGTAGTCGTGGAAACGAAACGAAATAGAATTAGGAACAATATCAGAAAAAGTGACCGGTGTTGTATAGAATAAAATTTGCTCCAATTTTAAAACGATCTTTATTTCTTTCTCTGTTTATAGAAAGAATCACCTTGGGACGTAGAATTACATTTGGCAGCGGCACGTGGCGATGCGAAGCGTCTTCGAGTTCTCCTCGATTCTGGTCGCGTCCATGTCGATTGCAAAGATAAGGTAAATCAAGACCATCTTACGCAACTGAAGTAATATTATTAAGAAAATTTTACAGATCGCAGGTAATAATTATCAGCAAGTCAGAATATCTTTGCATAACATTAACGAGCTTGGTAATAACACAAATTAAGTCTTACCAGCAAATCCTACAAATTCTAAGTTATCTGTATTATCTTATTACACGAAGGATTATAAAATTGTAAAAGAAGAAAACTATAATCCATTAATTTGTAATTTGTCAATTTGCTAATATTATTATATAATGAGTTTATTGCGCAAGAGAGGAAAGCTATATTCGTTCTCATTGACGTATCTACGAAATCATCGACATCGAACCAATAGACACCATAGGAAATCAGTTACCGGGAGACGATCTGTCGTTTCATTATGCAAATAACTACGCATCGTTGAAAGGGCGAATTCAAATAACGTTATTCCTAGTTTGAAAAGTGGCTTATTGGATTACGCACGGATATTCGTTCCACTTTGGCAGACGATCAAATTTAACCCGCTATATTCGGGGGAATTTGGAATTTGATCAAGAGAAGTAACAGTTTTAACGTTAACCTTCTTTTAAATGTCATGGCGTCGTTTCCGTTTGCCCACCATCATTTAAAGGATATCTTAAGTCATTTTTCTTTACTAATTTGCAGACGATCGGTTAAATTAATCGCGTCATTAAGGATCGGCATTCTCGATTGGTCGTTACATCAATTGAGGAACCTTACTAACAATCGCCGCGTTATTGCACTAAATTACTGATGCAGCGACGACGCGTGATTCGACACACCGGAAATATATAAAAGAAGTGCAGAAAGTAGAGACAGTTTGAAACAAGCGTAAGATACTGAAGGAGTTACACGACAGATTTACGACGCTTAATTGCCTGTTTAATGATACTGGTTTGTAAGAGTAATCACGATACTTGCTCCGTTCAAATCAATTAGAAAGCAATGCAGGGGAGTCCTCATTATGGAGATCATATCGAGGTGCACGCGACTGCGCACAGATGAATTTATAGCCACTTGAATTAAGTTTGTTCAAGTTTTGTGATATAAATTTGATTAAAAATGAAAGGATAGAAAACATTAAATATTTCAGTATTGGTTTATTATTAGTATTAGGATTAAACTGTGGATCTTTATGCAAATTCATATTCTTACAGATAGGTACACGTAAAGAATTTCAACTCGAATGAAAGAATGTTTTATTTTCTAAATGTATGTACTTTACGATTTGTCATAAATGCACAGACATCCGCAATCTAATTACGATTGTTACTGACAGATCATTAACCAGGTAATTTGTTTTCAGGATGGAACGACTCCTTTAATATTGGCCGCCGCCGGAGGCCACATCGAAGCGGTCACCGAATTGCTGCAACAAGGGGCGGATCCTAATGCCAGACGGCTGGTAAGTCCTGAGTACACGTAGCCGGCCCATGAATGAACTAAGAATGAATGAAACCCGCTGAACGTGTACGTCCTGGCAACCCCGTTACCCACTGAATGGAAATACTCTTTGCGACCACAGAAAGTTATAGTTTCAGTTGATCTCTTCGACCCTTTTGTGATCTAGTAGCCGAGTGAATCTTTTTCCTAAACTTTTAGATTTCTTAATAAATTAGGAGAAATTATTACAAGTCGTTTCGTTAAAGTATTCTGGGGAGAATTTTAATAATTGGAAATTAGAAAAAGACAATTATTGTCTTCGCGCTCTATAAATATTAGGGTACTGCATAAATTCTGTCCGCCTCGACAGATGGCGTATAATAGATAAATCATATAAATATAAATCAGAAGATTTTGATAAAAGCGGTATCCACATAGGTGGATGTTGTAAATTAAATTTATCTCTGATTCTGGCAGACAGAACTTACGAAGCAATCTAATAGAACAATATTTACGATGTATACCGTGATATTGGAGCTTGAGCAAAGTATGAGCGCAAAGTGCAAACACGATTACTCCTGAAAAACCAATTTCACGGCATCTCATCAGCGTGAAAATTTGAAATCTAAAATTTACAATATGTATTCCGCAATTTAATTTCATTTCCGTCGAAGTAACTAGCTTTGATACTGTTTCTATTTTTATCTTAATTCCTATCATACGATGATACCGTGCTCTACTCGTATCCGATAATAAAACAAATTTTTACAAATCACGTTACATTCTCGATAATTATAATCTTGGTTTAGAAGGAGAAACAAGTGTGTAACCTTCCTACAGTCTCTACTTTTTCGAAAATAGAAACGAAAGAAGACGCGATCTTCTCTGGTCTACTCACACAGAGCTTGGAAAGTCTGTGCGACATAAAAAGCTCGTCGCTTGTAACTTGTAACACGAGGCACCAGGAAGCGGTCGAGTGGCCTTTTTTAAGTGGCTCGCGACGATTTATCGCTGAGCCCACGTATACTCTCGGTGCAATCGAGGATCACGGTATTGTATGCAAATCCAATGGAACACAGGGCACTGTCGCGATTTTCGGCCACGGAATGTCCGCTTAACATTCAATTAGAAGAAATACTTAAACGCGTGATTCATTAACTAAATCATCGATAATTTAGGCAAGCTACCTGTCGTCATTGCGATTATTAGTTTATTTATTATCTTCTTTCTTTGGTAATGTATAAACGAATTTGGTTGTAGAAACGGCTTCGTTTAAAAGAAATTATTAAAAAATATGTACCTACGTAATAGTAACAATGGCTACAGATGAACACGATTAAAAAGATGAAACCTAAGCAGTGACTTATTTCATCCGTTAACATGTATTTTTTATGTGCATTTTTGCATCCCAATATTTTCCATAAATGCATAAACACTCGCAGTGTAACGATGACTCTCAAAACTTTCTTTCTCCTTGATGATTCTCGTACGAATCTCTCGACTCTTCCACGTGCATTCTCCGAATCTTTCCTCGCTCCCTACCGATACTTTAATATAAACGTTTATTCGATTGTCAAAATTATTTATCATCCGTACGAATTCTCACATTTCTTACAATTCAAACAATATCCGTCTGTCCTTCCTTTCTTTAGGTGTAAAAACATCGACGTGTAAATACGTGACTCGAGATGTAGCCTCGAAAAAAGGAAAAAGAGGTCGAAAAAGCCTTTTTTGGTATTCGAGACCAAGCGACGATGTTGTATAGGATGAATTACGCAAACGCGCGTTATGTGAGCTAAACGCGTGTTGACCCGTTACACAAACGATGTCACGTAGTTTCACTTCCAGAATTTATTTTTATTGACACCTACTCTAGTAGCTTTCTTTGCTTAGTCAGTAGCCTAAAACTAGACTCGGTTGCCATTGATATTTATTTCCAACGGTTTATCGGTGATCTCTCGATGAATTCTTGATCGGTTTTAATTATCGAGAGAGAGAGGAGAGTCAACCGAGGAAAAGTAGATGCTTGAATATAAATGCGGGAGAGGCGCAATTAATCGCGAGTCGTTCTGGTTATTTCTGCGAGTCAGCGATCTTAAGTCGCTCGATTATTTGGCCGATAGGCGAGTTTCTAATTCATATTAGAGATTGGAAAAGCCTTCTCCCGAATCGAACAAACAGCGTGACTATTTCGTTTTCCATATTAGAAAATAGGGTTATCTCTGATTTTTTAATTAAGCATTGTGATTCGTGACGAGCACGTTCCTCTTAACCATGCTGACGTGTTTCAAAGCATATAACAAACGTGTGGTGACATATAGATGACTACTAAACTAAAATCTAACTCGATCAAGATTGATTTCTCTTTATTATTAATTTTCAATTTCGATTATAGAAATTTTGTAGTTAAAGGACGAACGGTTTAAAGATTATTTGTTTAATCGAAGCAGATATGCAATAACGCAAAAAATCAGCAAAAGTGAACGTTGAAAACTATGTACAACAAAGGAAACCGATAGCATCGAAAGCTCAAACGCGAATTCATTAACGTCGGTCAATTAACCATAGCTCGTTCTGTAGTTTCTAAAAAGCGCGACCTGAATATAACGGACGATTTTTTCCCTCGTAAATAGCTTTGCTGCTGGCGCATAAGATGCCTATATAAAATACGCCTATGTATACTTATACCGTGTATAAGCACATTCAAGGTTGCTGAAGCGAAGCATGATAGGTTGCATCGCGGGTATACGCCAATTCGCGTGTTTCTAATACATTTTAGCAGCGACGTCTGCCGTAATGTGCGACCAGCCGCGTAGAACGATTCACGTGCAGCGCGTCTAAACGCGGCTTCTGCACAAATTACCGGTATCAGCTTGAAAATCGTGCGTGGGCGTTCGTGACACACTGATCCCTTAAGTTTGGCCTCGTTCAAGAAACAGACTTTCGACCGGTTCAAACAAATCTTTTTCGTGGCTAGCAGCAAATATCTTGTTACTCGAGTATCGAGTTTCGTGCATTCTACGTTGCATCCTCTATCAATGTTTTCGTTTTCAAATGCTGGTCAAGCTGGCTTCACTAACTCGATCCAGTAGCACAACTATTTCTTTCTTAATTTAAGGTTATGTCCCACCCGTGAAGAGATTTCCGTAGTTAGATTCCCTTCTATGAAATATTATTTTTTGGCTTAATTTATGAAGGCTTAAACTTAAGAGTGCATTCCGAAACTAAAGATCTGGTATCTAACACGGTTGACTTATCGTAATCTTATCTTATTCATATATATTGGCCCAAATACCTATTATCTGAGTCACGAGTTCCTGAAACTATTACTCTCAATTTTTATCGCTTATGAAAACGAAAGATTACTAGGAAGATGAAAGAGATTGAAAGTTTTCAATTCTCAAAAATTTGTTTTTTCAGGAAGCGTTTATTTTCACACGGAAAAGATCATCGGTACATACGTTATCGATACAACAATACGTTCGTCGTTTCTTCGAGATTCCCGAACAACCGATCTGACGGAAATTTTTCAAACTTCGCCGGCGCTTCATAAGAATTTCAAATAAGCTATCAAGCTCGTAGCACGCGAAAGCGTGTTGTATCGCATAAATACGGCAAGCGCGATAAAGTAGTGTGCGTTGGAAAGCAAATTGCGCGCAGGAAGTAATAAGTCCATTATAAATCGGCGATGCCCATCATCCGTCCGAGCATCCTCTCCGTTTTGAGCGGCACGCATTCATTGATACGATCATCATCTACCGGAGACCAGGGTGCAATACGCGCCGCAGGTACCATGCACCATTTGCCACTAATTACCGCGTTCGCCCGCGGTAGATTCAACAAATTAATTAAACTACAGGGCAAAGGAGGTTTAAACTGGTATCAAAAATAACTTTGACCTTTTATCTCGTCCTACTTTACGCCCGTTACTTGCACCGCAGGATTTCTACATCTGTATTTGTACTTGCAGATTCTTCTTTACGAAATCAGCGCCAGATAGCTGTTTGATAAGCGTATTTCTCGGGAATCGTTGGTAGCGCCGAATTACCTTCAAGTTTCATCCTTGCTAAAGATTAATTTCTACCAAATAAACCTGGAGTTCTTGATTTTGAAAATTATTTGAACATTTATCATCAGCAGAATTCTCTTACACGATGGGTTGTCGATATTTGCGAATTTACAAGTAACAACATTTATACAATTTTCATGTACGATTTCGGTTCTGTTATTACCGAGTATCGGTGTTGATAACTCGTAAAATTTCACTAACAATATTAATTCAATCGTGCGCGAGAGGTCAGATTAGTATGACTGTAGTATTTAATCACAAGTCGTTAAGAACTGGAATAGTATATCATTCCCAAGATCCTCGACTATGACGTACGTACGCGTGATCGAATGCAGGTTGAGTGGAGTAAAAAATATTCAACCACGACGGCGACTGTTACCGTGACTAGAGACAGGTTGATCGTCGTTATAGAATTTCTGCGGTTTGTAATGGATAGGTATTATGTCTCTTGGATTGATATGCTCGAGGAAACATTGGAACTTCGTAAAACGCGTGCAAGTGTGCACCTAGAACACTGTGGTAATTTCTCTACATAGAACCATAAACGAAATACATGTATGTACATGCAACGAAAAAGGGGAACGTAGCCTAATTCGGACGACAAATCGATCGAGATACCTAGTTTTTTCGGCAGCGATTATCGATACTTTAAGGCAATGAAACAACGTCAGTGAAAGTGCATATACATATAGCTGACATTTGAACAGGTTCGGTTTGCATCGGTCTGAACACATGCTGTTCCTTTCGTGGATATTCGAAACGCACACCAGTACTTTCTCTCCTTTACCAATGGATAGATATTCGATTCGAAATCGCTCTCTTTTTATTCGGTTATTCGGATCCGGCATTTATCCTCTAATTGTTCTCTTTGTAAATCATCAGCGGATATTGGACTGTTACGTTACAATGATAGAAATATTCTATTACGATCAGAATAGAGTTCAATCGATAGTACATTAATTGTTCTGAAGGCATTAAATAAACAGTCAGGTATCAATTCTTCATAAACGCAGGAAGGACATATCTGGCGTATTATAATAGGTACTGTGTCGCGGCAAAGGCGACAGGATGTCGCTCTCGCTGTCAATTATCCGCAGGTATCACCATCACAGAACGAGCTGACGATAGTAATAATAAATTCGGTCTGAATATATACAGGTAGAAAGGTGCGTCTCATCGGGGATAATAAAATGAAAAATTCATGGGTTATTCATGCGGAACTTGAGAAGAATGTGACATTCGAACGCCGAATGTGCTACTAATTATTCAGTTATATGTATATATATGTCTGACATTCAAAATAAATAACTGAAATTTTGCAATATTTTTTCAGGTAAAATTGGATTTTTAAACACTTTTGAAATACATTGATATTCTGGAATTTACGTAGTTATTATTATTGCCACTTTCGAAAGTGTAGAAGCGTTTCATTGTTTCTTCGACAATCTCTATTTTCAGCTTTCTCTTCGTACTCCGATAATCGATACCGATATACTTTTTTGGGAATCGTTGATCTCTTTTCTTTTTGTCAATACCCCCGAGCATTCTACAGACAGTAAAAATAGTATATTCAGTCAAGTTTTATAGACAAAGCTACGATTTTACTTTTATGAATCCTACAGTCGATTCTTATAGATATATTTAATTACAGCAGAACAAACTTTAGTATTATAACGTTGATGATATTGTAACACTTTGTACCCAAGTTATTTCTATATTTTATTCCACTCTAACGTATTCTACTCTGTTTACAGAAGTAGCAAAACAGTAATCCTAGATAGATCGTATGTCTTCTTTCCGTGCCATAAAATTCTTTTCGAAGCTTTCTGGCACTTTATATAATTGCCTCAACGTCCTACTCAAATCTTTTACACTGTATTACTCTTTATTTTTAGACGGGTACCACGGCGTTGTTCTTCGCCGCTCAAGGTGGCTACATGGACATCGCCAGCCTTTTGTTGGAGCACGGTTCCATTGTCGACTCTTGCAGCATAGTAAGTTGTACCGTAGTGAAGAGTATCGTGTAGCCAGGTGAAATGGAAACGTTCGACAATTTCTGGTTGCGATTGCAGGACGGCGGTACCCCACTTTTTGTCGCGTGCCAGTGCGGTCACCTAGATGTTGTTGAGGGACTGATTGAAAGAGGCGCCAATCCGAACGCTTACATGAAGGTGAGCTGGTTTGGTTGGACTTTTACGATAAAGAATGTCGTTTATCAAATGTAAAAGAATTATTCCTAACGTATAGTTAGCGACTATCGAATTAAAAAAAGAAAAAAGGTAACAATTTGCTTAATATTTGTAGGATGGGGCCACGGCATTATTCATTGCCGCTCAAAATGGCCACTTACGTATCCTAGAGGTTCTTCTGGAGCATGGGGCAAAAACGGACGCGGCAAGAACCGATGGTGCCACGCCTTTATGGATAGGAGCGCAAATGGGACACGATCACGTTGTGAGGAGGCTTTTGAAAGCTGGTGCGAAGGTCGATGCCACCAGACACGTAAGTCGAGAATAATCGGACAAAGAGAGGAAGCTGGAATCGACTTTTCAAAAGAATGGTTGATGTGGAGTGTTTTCTTTTGTAGGATGGCGCGACTCCGCTATTCAAGGCGGCTCACAAGGGCCATACCGCTGTTGTAGGCGAGCTACTCAAGTACCGTCCATCTCTTGGTATTCTTCCAGTAAGTACAAGTGTCTTAAACTGAAACTCAAAATTCTCGACAAATCTATAAAAATCACAGCCAATATATAATATTTAACAAAAATGACAAAAATAACTTATACATAATTATGAAAGATATATCTATGTTAGATACTGCAGGGTATAATAATTCTAATGATAATGCGTTCTGTTTGCTATAGTTCATTTAAAATTACAAAAGATAATTACTGTTTCAGAATGGTGAAAGTGCACTGCATGCAGCAGCATTAACAGGACAAATGACTGTTACAAGACAGCTGGTAGGTGCAGGAGCGGATCCTTTACTCGTGAACCAAGAAGGTATCACGCCGCTTCAATTAGCTATTAGGCATTCACAGACACAGGTGGCCAACTATCTAAAGGATAAAGTTAGAACGCGAACGGGAACGTCTTAGCAAAATACGCGTTTATCACCTACGTGCTAAAATAGAAATTAAGGTGAAAGAACGAAGAGGGAAGGATATACAGACCAGTGAAAGAGATCAGTATTTCTAAAGAAAATGTAATATATATACATATAATGTATATATATACTTTAGACATAATTTGTATACAAGATGATCAAGTGATTACATCTTTATCGTATTTCGCGTAGCGTTAAATAAGATTCAAAAATAAGCGAGATGTTGATTTATGCTACAGTCATAAGACTGTGGTTTAAAACTCCATCATTTTCTTAAAATTGTTTGTTCAGTGTGTATATATATTTGGATAAATATAAAACACATCCTGTAGTATTTAAAAATAGGTGAAATATATTTTAATGTATTCTCTTGTTGTAAATATTTTACAACGTTGAAAATTCTAAAAAACAATCATCGATGTAGACGGCATACATCCCACAGAGTTAGTTTTACGCTAAAACTATATATCTTGTTAATACTGAACTTGTGGTTACATAAACGTAATATATATATATATGTACCTTTAAATAATACAATCATTTTGTTCTAATTGAGGGTTCTATAAGACTGATTGATTTGCCTTGAAAAAGAGAGTAAAATTTGATGATTCTTTAGTACTATGTCTATTTCTTCTTGTTGATTTATTTATATATTATATTAGTGTTAACGCGGTATGCACAGAAAAAGGGAGAGAAAATATATTTCATGTTCTTAAACTATTCTCTATGGTGATATTAAGATATTTTATTTAGATGTATTATGTTATTTAGATATAATGAAATATATTTATAATTGCTTGTTTGATGTTACTTTATAATATAATAAATACATTTACTGTTTTCCCAAAGTGTTATGTTTATTTATAGCTGTTTATTGAACGAAAAGCAGAAAATGTTTAGTCTGTAAATTTAAAATAATACAGAAAATACTTTCGTTAACCACTATCCTTCCTTTATAATTACATGCTGATAAAATTACACATAAATATTAAACTTTTCTTTTTCTTCATTTAGTATCACAGAAATTCAACTTTACATTCTAACTGTATCTTTTATCAAATTGCAATTAAATATAAATCATTTTTTCGAAATATATTTTTAAGTAATAACTTTTAATAGTGTGTGATTATATTGATAGTTGACAAGTGACAATTTCTCCTTGATATAAATACAACTATTGTTTATGCAAAGAAGGAAGCATTGTAGCTTTAAAAAAGGACTATTGCTATTATTATAACATATAAAAAAGTGTATAAAAGAACAAGTCAAAGGTTTATAATTCATGTCAATGCTGTCCTTGTAGTCCAGATGCTAAGTGCCTATTTCCTATTTCATTTCAGATGCAAAGCATCTTCTAAGTAATGCAGTGTAACTGTGAAGCGAGTCGAGTCGTACAGAAAATAAAACCACTTACAAATATATTTAACTGATTTTCGTAAATTACACACAATCAATTATAAATAGTAATGTCAACGGCACGATGGATTTTATCAATTATCTCTACTGCACTGATAAGACAGATAAAAAACATATTTTATGTGTTTAATTTATGAAATTATCAGTTATACGCTGATTCTCAAACAATATCTATCATGGTCCGCGATCGAATGCCGGAGTTACGTGCCGTTAGTGTTTTACCATTCTATAAATTCAAATTTGAACTTCATCACTTACATTATGACATTACAATTTGAATACAATTACGCGTAAAGTATTATATTAATAACAAATAATATAAGTAATAAAATCTATTATAATAATATTTGTCATCGGCTTTCTAAATATTGTCTCTCACTTTAAAAAATTGATATATAATATACTGTTTCTTACCACTTTTCTTTAGTATCAAAATAGTAGTACTATGTTTGGTAAAGGATTTTTACAAGATGTACGCATACAAATGTCCCAAAATAAAAAATTAAAGGAAGTATTAGATCAAGTACGTATATGTAAATATATATGAATATTTAAGTTATCATTTAAATATCACAGATTTTTATATTAGTAGTAGATATACAAATAATATTAATATAGGTTGAGGAAGTTCGAGACTTAATTCAACTTATTGCTGCCAATACCGCTATTGTAAAGGATTTACATAATAATGTTTTATCATACACTAATAAAGGTAAGAACAAAGTACCAAATATTGTACTTAAATACTAATTAACAATTTGTATATTTCAGATATGCAAAAAGAATTGGAAAGTCGAATGTATACTATTTCACAAACGTCATTTCGTATTCAACGAAAATTAAGAGGTAGGTTTAATTTTTCCTACGTTTTTACACAGTGCATCATAAATAAAAATAAAGAAACAGAAATAACTTGTCTTACTTATCTTAATCAGACTCACTATCATCTTGAACCTGGGAAATATTTCTTTCTCTTATTTCGTGATCAAATAGTTCACTTTCATTTTGAAAGAAACTAGAAAGTCTCCTAACTTTTGAGGCACGACCTACAGTGCCATTAGATTCAAAACTAAAACATGTAGGTGTACTTGTACTAGGACCAGGTTGTGAAGGTGAACATAAAATTGAGTTTGAATATGTTGGAGAATTCAAACTATCTAAAGCCCTGATTGGTGAATTAGAGTTTAACAATTGCGAAACTGAAAGACGCTCTAATACAATTTTAGGGTGTAAATTACACATCGTTAGATCTAACTTTTTATTGGACGCACTTTGATTATTAATTTCTGATGCAAAATTTTCTTCTTCAGTAAAATTCTCATCATCAACTGTAATGTCTTCCATCTGTCTAAAATATATTAACATTAATAATCAGTAATATAAAATTAATAAGTCAGTAAGTAATATATAAGATTAAATAAATTTGAACATACTTTTTAAACTGCTCCACTTCTTTTTCCAATTCAGGATATTCGGTTACTATGTTTAATAGTTGATCCTTGTTATATTCAGAATATGTTTTAACTAGAATCTTTTTTACAACATTTTCTAATGGTGATTTTAGAGCAGATAATTTTATTCTAAGTTTTATTAATCTAGGTAATAGAACATCTAAACCATACTTCTTAATTCCTTCAATAATAATGCTAATAGCATTAGAAGTTGGAACATTTGTTTGAGCTCTACATTCTTCATCCTCTTGTTGGTCATCATCACCTTGTCTGTTAAAAGATGATGGTCGTAGACGCTCGTGACTTATTATATACAATGCATCCTTTAATACACCCGATCCTTCTTCTTTTTTAATGTCGATCAAACCAGCACAAGTTCCATCAAGTATTTGACTAGTTACTTTTACAAACAATTTCATCTTTCCTGGAGGATCTAAATGATCCAGCATGAAATCATAAATTATTCTCCGTTTCTTTTCATTTCTTCCTCCAGGAAGTGTTAAAGCTTTCTTTTCTTTCTCACACATTTTATGGTGATAAATTTTATGTTGGGATTGATAATTATTATAATGATATATGCTCTGTAGAAATTGTTGTGATATTAGTGACTTATTCTTTGTTAAAAGCCGTTCTTCTATGAGAAAAATTGTTAATTCACGTATCATATTGTCCGAATCAGACAACATTGTTAATATATGAAAAAAGAAAGGACCCTTAACTTTTATGTAATCTTCCAGAAGAAGTTGAATAAATATCACCACAATAGCCTCTCGTACTTGTGGAGTTGAATTTTTCATACTTACACACATATCTGATAAATATGGTTCCACCAAAGCAGTGAACCTAACACAAATATCAGCTAAAGCTTTTGCAGCATTTGTTTTCACAGCAATTTGAACAATCGAATCTAGATTTGTTTCTTCTCTCATTAATTTACCAAGTATTTGGACTACTTCTTTAGCAATTTCACGATCTCTTATTGCTTGCTGTCCAAGAATAACAACTGCTGAAGCTTGCAGTTCTTCTATCGGTTTTATAACTTCTGGTAGTGTTTCCCATTCTAATAACATTCCTTGCAAAATCCGTAGCGTTAACGGTGAAATTTTGCAGCTGCATAAAATTGTTGCATGTCCTAATGTAAACATAGCTTTTAAATAATTGGGTGATGCCTCTACATCTTCATTTTCAACTTTAAAAATTTTTGCAATTTCTATCTCTGAAATCTTTACTAAATTTAGCATGTTTGATTCTAACAAATTATCATTTTTATCAGGATTTAAATAATGAATTATGTTGTGTATAATATCCAAACAAATGCTAATTAATCCAAAATTAATCTTGAATTGTTGCAGGCATTTATATAGATAAATATGAAGATCTTCTAGAATCTCATAATCTAAAGACATCCAAGAACATCTTAAAACTTGCAAAACTAAACTTGTGTAAAAATTATTTTCTAGAAAAATTTGCTGATAATTTGAAAAATATTTGTCCATATTTGGTAACTTGGTATTTTCAGCCAATGCAACCAAAAAGACCCAAGCTTCTATGTTATTATTTGTTCCAATATGAGATTGTATATTTTTCATTATAGAATTAGTAATAACACCATTTTTAACCCATAAGCTACAGGCTTTTGATAAATGTCTTCTCATTTTCATATTTGCTACAGCATTTAAAATTTTCCATGGCAAATTATCTGCAATAGTATCAGTAGTTGTAGAAATACTTTGTATTCTATTTAATAATAACTCTTCTAAACAACTTAGCACCTTTTCTTGTACTTTAATTTCAATGTCAAATATTTGTGGTATAACAGTTTGTACCCATTCATTTAGGAGTTGAGAATTATCTGGAAATTGTTCTAAAAGTTGAGATAGAACTTGTACAGCAAAACGTCGCACGATTAATACCGGATCTCTACATCTGAGGCTAATTATAGGTACAATTTCATGTATCAGAAATGGAACCATTACAATCAAATTTTTTAAGATTTGCAATGTGCTTCGTCTTACCATTGCTCTTTCATCCTCTACTCTATCTGCCAGCATAGTTATTAATGCATTTGATCCTGGTAAAAAATCAGTATCCTCAGATAGAGAATTCTTTATGTCATGAAATGTAAGAAATTGTTTATTTACATCTGACTTTTTAAATATAGTTAAAAATATTTCTTTGTCCGTTTCATTGCTTGATTCTGTAAATTCAGCAATTATAGCCATGGCTTTTCCTCTTACCATACTTGAACAATCCATACATCTAGTCAATACAATTGCAAAGAATACTCTTTTTACCTTAGCTTTTAAGCAATCAGTTATATTGCAATTCACCAAAAAGGACTCAAGTAATAATTTTCCAATTATTTCTTGTGCAAATAATCTAAAAGGTATCTTTGAATGATGTGACAATAGTATTAAATCCTTAAAGGCTTCTAGTGCAATATTCTGGTTACATATTCCAAACAGTTTTAGCAACACATTAGCTTGTTTTTGTCTAGCTTCAAGTCGATCTGGACAGAACAACATTATATGTTGTATCAATGTTAAAATTGCAGTTTTGGCTTCTTTCTCATATTCATCCAATAAATTTTTTACAAAATTTATAGTATGCTCACGAATATTTGTAATAATTTTTGTTTGTGCATCCATATGACTATATAACAAACATGGTAATAGGTACTTTGCTATGATGGTTATAGTTATTTTGACTGGTCCATGTTTATCATTACATAATTCTTTCAAAGCTGCATAAGCATTTTGTGGCAATGAAACATTCAAAGCACCTGCCTTTTTATTAAAACATTGACCAATTATGTAATTATCCTCTACCTTTGTAACTTCAATTAATCCAAGAATGGTAATATCTAGTAACTGTACATGATCATTAAACCGGAATGATTTTATCATCAAAATAAAGCTGCAAATTATAATATTTAAATTTTGTATGAGAATTTCTTTTTCACTTTGTGAAAGAATAATGGTTTCATTCATTGATTGTTCAGTGATATTTAGATCATCTAAACTTATTGTTTTATTATGTTTCTTAAGAGGAGGCAATAAATGTTCAGAGCCTATTTTTATTGTCTCTATGGCTCGTTGATATAAAGTAGGATGAAATACATTGAATGCACAGCTACCAGGAATGGCCAAAAGTATGAAATATAAATTAGTCGCATATAAACATGATTGTCTTGCTTCTTCATTGGCTGTTTTGCTTTGACCATTTTTTATTATATAACCCAATACAGCTAATAAAGCACGTATGTTTATACCCATAGAAATCAATGTATTCCAAGATATTTCAGAATCATAATTTTCAAAGTTATTCTGATCTTCACCTTTTTCTAGCCAAGTTTTTACAACAGTACAGGATTCGTTTAAAAGCAATCTCATGTCCTCACTCTCTAAAAACATTTGATACTCATCAGGTGGTTCATTATAAATCATAAATTCTCCATCCCACACAGATTGAATCCAGTCTTCGTTTAATTCACTAAATTTAAAATTATCGAATATTTTTAAAGGTTCCATAGTAACAATTGTATTCAGTTTAGATCATTTTAAACGGAACTACAATTATTATCACATTTCTCTATCTTATAAATGTAAACATAACCTTAACTTATCATTTGATAAAGAAAAGTTATGGCCTCAGGTTATCATTTTTTGAATACATATCGATAACGATTTCATTATTTCATTATGGTATGAACCAACAGAAAACTTTATTGGTAGTTTATCACAAAACATTTCGTATAAGCTACAAAGAACTGTAAAATAAACTTGGGCGTCCATTCGAAAGCGGGAAACCGACTGACCAATTACATTCATTAGGAAGTGCAACGTAAAATAATGCGACATTGTAGCGATTTCACATACTGTAGATTATTGAACATTTTTTACATAATATAAACAAAAATTCCATATTTTACCAAATAATTAGTATTTTAATTAACTAACAGTATATAATAAATTAGTATAATTAGATTATATATCAAAATCAATCAAAAGATACTTTAACCATAAAAGACTATAATTTACGCGCATAAAAATATGTATGTCACATGGTTTTACAAAAATTGAATTATAAAAAATTATGATAAATTTTATGATAAAAAAATTAACGAATTATCTAACTTTATATTAGGTTTCAGTTTTTGTCTTTGTAAATCGTTAAATATCTTTTACTTATTTTTATAGAAATGGGAAAAGAAATCACTCGTCTTGATGATTTAACTTTAACCAGCGCGAGGGAAGGTCCTATACATCTACGAATTAAAATAATACAACATACAACGATGATAAAGCTATTCTCTGAAATTATGGAAGATTATAACATATCTATGATAAGATATCACGAAAAATGTCGTTTACTTTTACATCAACAAAAAATGTTAAGTATGTTTTCTGTGGAAATTGTATATCATTTTCATTTAAATACTACTGCGGATTATTCTTACTCATCTTTTAGTCCGAAAACATATTACGAGCGAAGAATTGGAAAAATTACTCGATGCTCAAGGAAACAACTTATTTGTTGATAATGTAAAAATCAGATTTATTCTTTTACATTACCAAATTTTGTAAAATTTAAATGAGTATATATGAATTATTTTATAAATAGATTTTAGAAGATAGTAGAATTGCAAGGCAACAATTATCTGATATTCAAAGTAGGCATAATGATATAGTCAAAATAGAAAAATCTATTGGAGAAGTTAGAGATATGTTTACGGAAATGGCATTTCTTATTGAAAGACAAGTAAGTATGAATAGGCTATATAACTAAATATAAATTTTAAATATACACATATAAAAATTTATATTTTTTATCTTAATAGGGAGAACAAATAAATAGTGTAGAATATTTTGCTGGAAGGGCAGCAGATGATGTTGACACTGGTCGTATTGACCTTAAAAAAGCAGAGGAAAGAAGTCAGAGACATAGAAAGGTATTTGCATTAAAAATAATAATTGTGTATGTAGTAAGACAACAGTATCATTTAATAAAAAAATATTTCTTTTAGAGAAAAATTAAACTTGCTATCATAATTAGCACAATAATTATCATTTTGTTGATGATCATCATTTTCTTGTAAGACGAAAAAGATATAAAATTTTGTAAATAAAAATGAGATTTGTTGAAATGAAGTGAAATTGAAGATATTTATTATGAAAGTAATAAAAATCAGTATATTTAGATAAATAAAAACAGCTTTTACATGTCATTAATGTGTTTCACAGCTATATCAAGTTATAACATTCATAAAATTGTTTATTTAAAAAGTATTAAAAGCAGTAATGTATATACCTATATATTATTTATATACATAATTTTTAAAATAATTAACAAGACCTTTTGCACTAGGCCTCACTTTATAGTCTGCAGTAGTGCATGCAAAAAATACTTCAAGTACTCTCTCATATTCTTTTGCTAGATTAATAGCAGGTAATGCAGGACGAGTACCTGTAACCATCAAGGTATTATAATTTGGTATATAACCTGTCAAAAATTATTCCACATTTTACTAAAAAATATTGTGAAAGTACTTACCATAGTTTTTATTGCATGTTTCATTAAGAAAACTATTATCATCATCTATATCTATATCATGTTCATTTGTTTTTGTATTGCTATTCATATGCATTTCTACCATTGAGTCATCTAAGCAGGATTCATCCATTTCTGAGGATTCTACATGAGGTGATGATAAGGCTATCATCTCCCAAACTACAAGACCACATGCCCAAATATCTGCTTTATTTGTAACAGGACCATCCTCTAAAGAGTCAAATTTATGATCATTCATATTACCCTTTTTATGTTATGTTAATTTTTATGAATGTTAAAAATTAACTAACCAAATATTATTTCAGGTGCACTCCAACAATCTGTTCCCACATATGTAAAGTTTTCATTTGAAGTACACATTTCTAAACTATTTGTAAGTGGCAAAGACACGCCAAAATCACATAGCTTAACAGTTTTATAATCTGCAGAAACTAACACATTATAACTTTTTATATCACCATGTAAAATATGGGCAGTATGATGCAAATATTCTAATCCTTTTACAATTTCATATGTTATTTTTAAAATGTCTTTAGCAGGAAATGGATCATCGCCAGTTTCGAGTCTTTCTTCTATCTTATCACCTAAAAAAATTATATTAATACAAAAACTATATTTTCAAGTTTTCAAACATATCTTCATGTTTTAGATACTTTTTTATACCTAAAGAAGCGTCTAATTTTTCCATTGCCAAGCATGGCTCGCCATTTGAAAGTTCCGTAAAAGCTCGAAAACCAACAATGTTTGGATGATTTAATTTACGAAGTACTTCTGCTTCGAATCGAATGCGTTCATTATATTTTTTATTTTCCTTAATTTTGCAATTACGTTTTTTTATCGCCCATGGAGATCGGATAAAACCAACTTTTGGAGATCGTTCCAGGCTAAATACGTTAACACCTATTAATATGTTTACATGTTAAAAAATATTAATATTAATAGTAACAAATTTAAATATTCATATCTTTTTACCGCATCCATAACCTATTTGCTCTAAAAACGGTGAAGCTGGTATTTTAATAGGCGTTTGCAATTCTGGATTATTTTGTACCCTACTTTTATACCTCTTCGTTGTCGGTGTCTTAAATTCAGTCATTGTACTACTGTTTCTTAAAAAATTTACACAAATTTAATCAAGTATGTTCTTCCGTTAGTCACTTGGATTTGAAATTTTCTCGATATTGAGGCGCTCAAGTAATACCAACCTTATGGACTATGATAGAAAGAAAGTTAATAATATCAGCTCTGACAATATCAAGATCTTTTCTGTATTTCTTGAATTACTTTTTTATATCCACCAATTATGCAAAAAATAATAATTTTAAAAATCATTTATAACATTTTACACTTGTGTGTTAAATTACTATTATTGTTTACCATGAAAAAGCGCACCTAAAAATAACAAAGTAATTTAAATAGGTATACAAAGAAGATAACAAAAGAATTTAGTAATTGTACACATTTAAAGTTTTACATGTTTATTTTTAATCAGGAATATTTTCAGTTTTCTAAGTTCAAAATATCCTTATTTGTCCCGAAATTTTAAACATTGCTTTTGACTTGATCTTAATTTACGGTCTTAGATTTCCAGATTCTAAGTATATGTATAAAAAATATAAAAGTTCCTAATGACTTTTAGTCATTATTAAGCTAGGAGATATATAATTTCAAACGATATGTTTAATACCCTTATTGCTTTCCGAGTACGATCAATTTGTAATCGGTGTAACACTATCCTGCAACCTACCAAGTTTACTCTACGGCTTTGCATTTTCGTTAGTCGCTTGAATAAACACTCTATCGGGTGTAAAGGATTCCTCTAATGATGCTTTCTGCTTGAAATAACTGTTCGTTTTTTCAGAAACGCTTTCGGGTATAGATAAAACTTGAAGCTCACATTACAATGATGATATTCGTTTAATATCGTTCTTTCAAAAAATTTTTATTGTACTGAAAATTTCTCTTTTTTTTATAATGTTTTTTCACTTATTTTTATGTTTTTTAGAACATGATATTCTTGCACTTTCAAAGCTCGTCGCTCAATTAAATCCTGTTCTCCTGCATTTAACGATGCTTCCTGTGTTACCTCTTTCGTCTCAGACTGGCGAATATGTTATTTCATATGCAAAAAACGAATAGTTGATGATTTGTATTGGTGCCTGGTATTGGCTGATACCTTGTTAAGTACTCTGAAGAATATTGCTTGTGATTTTAGAAATTGTTTCGAACTTCGATGCTCCTCCTATTGTAAAGAAACGTTCTCTCAACTTTTGTTTTGAACTAGGACAGTATTCACAATTAGCAAACATCCGCCGTCGTACATAAATTCTATTGGTTTCGAAATTAGCGAGCAATATCTAATTAAATGCTCGCTTTTGCAAAACAATATCAACACTTGAATGCTTTTGTAAAGGAGTTGAAAATCATCCAGGCATTCGTTGGAAAGGTGACTGGGGCAAAAATTATCTGACGTCAAAGTCTTCGACGTGATGGTTCAGAAGCTGATGAATAATATCACCCTAAACAGAGATAATCGATTAATTTTGAACGCGTTTCGTAGCTAAGAATAAGTTCGCGTGACGTAGAGCTTTATTTGTTACGAGAAAAAGGTGTTGCGTACCGTATTCAAACTCATGATTTTCATTTCGTTTAAAAAATAAAAGAATCAACCAGAGATGAGCGATTCTACTTTGAACTTATATATAGGCTTGTTTAGAATTTGATATTTGTTAGTATACATGTAGCATATCTATTGTAGTTAAATGTTCGTTTCCAGAAAATATCAGAGAAAAAGTAAAGATATTTACGACAATACAAAGTTCTCTTTTAAAACGCATTAAGCGTTATGATCATCATCTTCCTGTTGGAATATTCCTTTTGGTTCTCATTGATAAAGTGCATATTGGAAGCAGAGAATTTATTAGTTGAACATGAAACATGTTTTTTTATTAGATCTTAAATTAAATTAGCTTGACGAAGGGCGCTGGAATATAATTATAATGTACAAGTAAATATACTTCGACTACAACAATAAGTCAACCTTTATGAGAGCATGCGCAATATCGACTTTTCATGGAAAACACGGTAGTGAGTTCAACGGGGATGGATCTCACAGAACTCGTGCATCCGTTGCGTCGGTTTTACACAAGAAGTTATTAATGAAAGCGGTAAAATGAGTGACAGAAAATTGCTTAAAGTAACGATAGAATCTAGTAGATTTTCAACGTGATCTTTAAATTGTGCTTTGTCTTAAATTTGTTTAAATAGTTTTGCATCCGTATCCACTATGTTAACGGGAATATTTAAAGGGTATGCTTTGAATAGGAACGGACTTTATCTATAATCTATAGTAACGATAAATATTAAAAATGTTCATTAGTTTCTAATTTTTTAAACTTCATATTTTAATAGTAATTAAATATTATTAAACATTGTAATATTACCTCGCCAAATATATTTAAACTTTTTTAGAACGCTTTTATGTTGCGATGACGACAATTCTACCTGGAATAGTATAATTAATGCGGACAGACATCCTCTCAATGAGACTGCTTCTGTATTACGTGTCCTTTATAGGATAGTAATTCCTACGATCGTAATTGGCGGCATTTTCGGTAATGTTTTAATATTCCTGGTGTTATCTACTCCGGTGTTTCGAGGAATTTCGTACCTATATCTCCGAGGACTAACTTTAGCAAACGCCGGGGTTCTTCTATCTTGGATACCTGTATGTATGTATCACGATATGGATATAAAAAATATTAATAATTTAATAAAAAATATTTTAAATAAACATAAGGTAATCAACAATATTTTAATCTAGATGTTATATTATATTATAATTTAAAATTTCTAAATAAAAATGTATGATTTCAGTTATTAGATTAGGATATGGAACGAGAAACAATTACCCGTCTGTTTTTTACCACGCTCATTTAGAACTGGTTGCCGTAAACACGTTCGCTATAGCCAGCATTTCAATTATGACTTGCTTAATTGTCGATCGATATATCTTCATTTTTTTCCCGGTTCGCATCCGCAGCAGAAACGCACGCAAAAATATTCGCTCTTTTATCCTGTGCTCTTTTATTCTTGGATTCGCGGTATCATCTTTTTACTTCTTTTGTAAAAAAATAATTACTGATTATGAAAGTTCCAATTTTACTGAGGATCATTGTATAGGTAAGCGCTCCGCTAACAGGAATGAGAACAGTATATGAACAGCAAGAAGATACCGGAACTCTCTTCACACTGCGTGAAAACATCTCTATCACCCGAAGTGCTTTATGGAATGCATACATTTGGATCATGGAAGTCGTGCTACGACTCTGTCCAACTATAATTCTTCTTTTACTGAATAGCTTTGTGGTCAAAAGATTTTTGCAGCTCAATGCTAGGAAGAGAGAATTTCAGTCGGTTTCGGAGAAGTTTCGTACTGCAAATGTCCCTGAAACTTCTTTATTGACCCGTAATCGAGGATACAGGTAGCGTTTAAAAAATAAAGATTATAATGCACCTTCAGAATTTTCTACAAATAAAAGTTAAATTAATAATTATTAATAATAAATTAATAAATAAATACAATTTAATTGTTACAAAAATTATTTGTTTAGAGAAGAACAACATTTAACTACATTAATGTCGATGATGGCAATATGTTTTATAGTAACAATGATCCCATCGATATTGCTTGAATTTGTATATTATGATTATAAGAGTACAGATGGTGCTTACCTCTTATTTCGAGCATTTGCTGCTGTCACGGAGCTTTGTAATTTTGCTATCCATATTATCATATACTTTATATGCAGCAGAGAATTTCGGAAAGAATTCTTCAAACTTCTTCAGGTAAATACAAATTTGAAAAGATACTCAGACCAAAGTGAAAGAATTTGAAGTCGAATTTTTTAATTTAAAAAATTCGAAATATAGAACAGATGTAGGAAAAGTACAGTGGAAGAAGATCTTGAACGACCAGTAGGTGAAATCGAAGATTATAGTCGACATGGAACAACAGTTCGATTAACACCAGAACAGACAAAGTTAAATTCTCCAGCTTCTGCAAGTAAATTGAATCCTATGGAAGAAGATAAAGAATCAGAAGTATTAAATGCGTCTGATATTGTTTAAAGATTATATTATAAATAAAACATTTTACATATAATAAGATATATTAATTTATTTACATATATAATGAAATATTGTTTTATTCTGTCATGCAGAAGTTATGTATAATAAAATTTAATTTTTTCTGTATATAATTTCATTTAAATAATAAAAACTTGTTTGTAAAAATATTTTTATAAAGTAATATCTTAAATATATTAATCCTAGCAGTTATAATATATTTTTTCTATCTCATAATATCACAATATTTGATCCAATCATTATTTTAGTATCTTTCGCAATTATTATGATAATAATATTAGAGGGCACTAGTAGTTGCAGATACACATGGATATTCCCATGTCCATACAGATATACAATATCATCAAAGAATAACACATAACCTAAACTGTCAAAGTATACATAGACACGTCGAATAGTATTAGATATCAATTTATCAATCTCTGATATTATTTCTTGTTCACAAAATTTAGTTCAATGGTGTTTTCTTCAATGTAGTTCATTGTTTAAGTAGTTGAGTATGTGTTTAAACATATATAAATAGTTATTTCATGTTAAATATAATTTATAAATATATGTATTTTCTTTATATGTATAATATATACGATTAATAAGAAAATTTTACAGTTAATTCTTAATTATGTGTGAGTTACCACCAGAATTAGTTACTAAGCCATTAGCTCTTATTGGCTTAACTGGTTTAGACATTGCAAATCCTGTACATCGGTCAATTTGGGATGCATTCAGTAATAATCGCAGATTAGAAAGTTCTGCCATACAATTTAAATTACTTAGCCCTACTCATGAATTCCCTACAGTAAAACCCAAGGTATATTATACTATATATAATTGTATAACATAATTCATGTATGTGGTTATTGAATTACTAAAATCTTATTGATATATTTCAGAGGAATTCATATGAATATTATAGGCCCAAAGGAATATTGAAACGTAATTGGATGAATAAATATCTTAATGAAATTCCAGCAGTTGTTGTTGTATTTTATAATTTAGATTGGAATGATCCTCAATGGAACGAGAAAAAGATGGAATGTGCTTCTAAAGTACAATCTCTTAGGTACGGATTATTTTAGATATCATTAATATTATTCATTAAAAAATATTGTAATCAATACTTTTGACTGCTTGCACTTTTAGAAATGCTTTAGATGGAAGAACTACAAAAATAGCTGTAGTACTTATACAACATTGTATACAACCCCCACCTGGTTCTGAAGATACTATTGCAACTGAACGTGCCACAGCTGTCTGTGGAGCATGTGAACTATCTCCAAAGTTATTATACATTTTGCCACATGGAAATCATTTACTAGGATATATATCTAGGTAATTAATAAACTAATTGTAAATCTCTACTTTTGATTATATGCTTTAGTTATTAATATTTATATGCATTTCAGACTAGAAAGTGCATTATATGATCTAGCACAAAACTTTTATCATCATGAATATCGTATTGTCAAAGGACATAGAGATCAACTTAATAAAACTATGCAAAAAAATGCGTACAAACATTTATTTGTACGCCATCAATTTAAGATGGCATTTTTAAATGAATTAAGACAAGATCAAAATTTAGCTCAGAAGTAAGTGTAATAACACTGGAAAAGATTTTGAGTACAAATAAAAGGTACAAAATTATTTTATAGGCATTATACTCAAGCATATAATCACTTATTGGAAATACCAATAACAGACACAAATGTGATGGAAATTACAACTATTGCTTGTTTTATAAATTATAAGTTATGTAAAGTAATGTTCAACTTAAATGTTCCTAAAGATGCTATATCGCAATTTAGACTTCATACTGACAGGTCAGAAATATATGTAATAACATAAGGAATATATTACATAATAAGTACTGTTACAATAATATTAAATTGGTAATGCAGATTCAAAATATGGACTGGTCCAAAGGAACTTATATTTGAACATCATGCTTGGATGTGTAGTCAGTTTTCTACATTTGCAGAATTATTTGATGATGCTATTCGACAGGGACTTCCTGGTGTCCAAACTCAGCACCCTGGATATTATTTTCAATCAGCAGCACATCATGCAGGCTTAAGGCAAGCAGCTTGCAAAGAACTTTGTCAGGTATAAAAATTAATACATTTAATACAAATGATATTTTTATATACACAATTTGTAAACATTGTATGTATTGTTCTAGAATGTTACTAATTATCCAGATCCAGACCCATTAGCAGGCGAAGAAAAACTTGAATTCTATGGGCAACGACCATGGTGTCCTGGAAAATTCAGTGCAGAACCCATAGATCCTATAAAAAAAGCACTTGCTATACAGGCTTTACAATATAAAGAAAAATACACAGTTCACCATTCTGTAAGAAATATATTTAATACATTCTCAGTCAAAAATGTATGTTTATCTATAACTAGAAATAACTCTAATCTAAAACTACATTATATTTTCAGAATATAATCATTGCTTTACTGGGCAATGCAATTTCACAATTTAAGATATATAGGTGTCCGAGAATGAGGAGAGTATTAGGTATGATATATTTAATTAGAAGCTATATAAATTTTTACTTAATAATATACATAGTAACTGTGTTTCAGTCGTACAAATGGCTGAAGAATATTATAATTCTAAAGATTATGGGAAAGTTCTAACGTAAGTCAAAAATTAAATATTATTATATTTATATAAATTTATTGACGCTACTAAAAGAATTTTATAGTATTCATTAGTTCAAAAGTTGACTCTAACATTATTTCCTCTAGACATATTTCATAACTTAACATCAAAATCATAAAATTTGATTGGCCAGATTATTGATGCACATGTTGTGGGAATATCACGGGGAACGGTGGCCCGTCTTAATCACAAATATCTTAAAGAATGCTTTACGTGCGGCATATCTCTCTACAAGTGTTCAAGACTACATCACCTTGGCATTTGAAGCTTTGGGACCTTCTACCACGTTTTCAGAGGATTATAAAGATGCTGTCTATAATAACATCATTAATATTCTTCACGTGAGTAACTTTTATTTAAATTTTGTACAATCATTTATAATTAAACAATTAAGTAAAATATTAAATTGCAGAAAAAACCACCAACTCCGGAATCTGACTTACCCGATGATGTGAGATATCCTGCAGTAGAAAAGTGGGTAGTGGAACTAAATAAGTCAGAACCAATTGTCTTTACAATTGATGATAATAACATGAGTTCGTTTATAGAAGTTAAAGCAAGATTTTTGCAGCCAAAGTATGCTGTCAATTCTATGGTTACTGCGGAAGTCATTATTAGGTAATTTTACAAGCTCACATTATTTTTATATATATAGAAAAAAACAACTTGTATAATAAAATGTTTTGTTTTATTCAGAAATTCATACAGCAATAGTGTTGAATTTTCTAAAGTATCAATAACGGTTAATAGCCCAGGATATAATTCAGAATTCGTCGTTGCTGATGCTGAACATAATAATCTTATTTTTCACGGGAAAGAAATGAGAAAATTTCCTTATCAATTTGAAGCCCCACAACAAAATGAGAGTAGCGAAATACGTATTACGACAATCTCATTATATATGAGTAGTGACAAAATGTGCTGTATTATTTTAAGATTTTCTGCTGTAGGGAGAGAAACGAATTTTTTGAGTCGATTATATCCTGAAATACAACAGCTTCGGTATGTTTAAAATACTGACAGATATTTATGCAGAAGACTAATGCATTTTATATTTACAATAGTAGAGGAGAGTTTGAAACAATACAATCACTAGTCAGTACCGAAATAAAACAAGAAGAATCTACTCTGAGTATAAGTACTGAATCCAACAATCCAGCTCTTTTAGGAGAGTGGCTACCTATTAATATATCTGTTGTTACTAATGAAAAAATATCATCAGCATTTTTAAATGTATCACTTGTGTCTGATGGAGCGAATGAACAGTCAAGTACGTATGTAACTTACCACAAAAGTGCATACTGCCATTTATTACACATTACACACATTTGTCAATAACGATTCGTTAAATTGTAGCGGAATTAAGTTTGACAATGAATAATAAGCAGTCGGTAATATCAATACCAATTGATAATTTGGAAAAGGACTGTGTTACTCATCAAACTGTATACTTAAGGGCTCACAAAGTTGGTGATCGAGATATTCATATAAAGGTACACATTATACTCTTTTAGCCCCTTAATTTTTGTAAAATAAAATAATGTCAATTTCATAACAGGTAGAATACACAAGATCTAAACAAATTAAAGGATCAAAAGAATTAACATATTCATTATCAGTTACAAAGCCATTTGAAGTGTCGACATTATTTTATACCACTCTTTTTGAACCACTGACGAAAGGCTTCATTAATGAACCATTTATAATAATGCCTCATATTGTTTGTGTGTCTCCATGGCCTATAAATATTATAAATACTTCTATAGAATTGGTAAATAATATTTCTAGTAGTTATTAATCTTTTACTGCACATCATAATAATGTTAATTATATAATTATATAGGGAGATTTAATAGAAAGGGAAAATGGAAATGAGGCAGTATCTGTTTTAAGTGGTATTACACTTTCTGCAAATGAAACAGGTACAGATGTGTATTGTTTGATACCAAAAGCAGGTGGTGAGCAACCTATTAGTACAGGAGTCTATACTATTAAATGGAAACGGTAAGCAAAGATATATAAAATTCTAAAATGGTTAAATAATATAATACTAATAGTTGCTATTTCAGTGCAAATGATGATAATGCATTAGAAACCAGCAGCAGTGTTACTTTAGCACCTCTAGGAGTTGAGGACGCTGTAATTTGTTTGGAAGCCAAAATACCTGCTCATGGTTGGGTCCGTACACCATTACTAATATCATATTTTATAAAAAATCATTCTGATAATATGATTACATTGCGACTGACTATGGAAGCTAGTGATGCCTTTATGTTTGCTGGACAAAAACAAGTGAGCACTCATTTTAAACTGTAATACCTCATAATATGATTATTAATTTGGTCGTTTTTCTTTCTTAGATTGACATTTACATACTTCCAAAAAATGAAAGAAAAGTTGAATGGATTTTACGACCATTGGTGGCAGGTTTTGTACAACTTCCATCATTATCTCTAACAGTTCCCGCTGGTAATAATTTTATTGGTTAAAATATTTTTATTAATAATGTCTTGAATTATGTTTTATTTTTAGTTCTATTTATATGTTGCATGTAGATGAAGAACATAAATTAAGCAAAGCGCGGCTTTCGGAGTTAGTAGAGCGGTCAATACCGAGTCATATATATATTCTTGTAAGTATCGTAGTTACATTGTTTGCTAAAAGTTTAGATTATAAAATTATATATATTTTTTTTTTACAGCCAACTTCACAAACCCTAGAAGAATAAATAAAATAGCAAATAAAGAAGACAGATACCAGAGGAGAAAGGAATTTTGTTCTTTTATCAATATATATTATTGAGCTACAGATACATTCTCCATACATTCTTAGATATAACAAGATTTCTTATATAAGAATAATAAGATTATAAGTACCAATTTGTTAAATATAATTTATTTAAGTTATTTTAAAGTATAATAAACAAAAGTCCCTAATCCTTTAAAACGCATTCGGTTCCGTCAACAAGATACATATTCGTTGACGCAGGGATATCGATTTATGTTGCCATAGGTACATTTCTATAGAAACCACATTTTTTAAAATATGTACACTGTGGTCATGCATACGCGCGAGCACAGTATATTAATAATTCCTTTAAAATAAAGAATTTAATAAAACTAAAAATTATAACTAAATTAAACTAAATTAAACTTAAACAAAATGGTGAATTATGAATACGAAGATCGTAAATAATGACATCGATAATGTCTGATAACGATTCTACGCATAATACTTCTTTGGAAAAACAAAATGAAAAGTGCTTGGACCGATTGCTGACGCCTATTTTTCGTGTAAACTCGGAAGAATCATTGGCTCGTAATCGAAAATTTTTAAAGGTAATTGGTGTTATTATTAAGATTAATTCAGCACGAAATGTATATTATAGACACTTCATAATAAAACCTAACATCTTTCATCTTTTATGCTGTGTTACGTAATCAGTAGTTAAAGTAACAGTGAATCTTACTATATATTACACTAAAAAAAATTATTTATAAATAGGATCTGGAACTTGCAAAAGCACGTTTGCGAACTTACGCTGCGTATACTCCAACTGACCGAGAATTACAACAACGTGCAACGGAATATCGCAAATATCTCCAGAAGTATATACGAAATTTCGCTCCATAACAAGTCGATTTTATGTCGGGAACGAAGTACATCCATTCAGTTTGATAACTCGAGCCGAACGAACAAACTTTCAAGTGAAAAGTTTGTTGATCGTTGGGATCGATGCATCAGACTGATAATTCAAAACGATAGTATTAAACTAACGAAAAAAAACAAACTAAATATAAGAATCTATACTGTTTAATAATGTGTTAAAATAAAATTTTTGATTATTTTAGTTACGTAATTTTATAGAATAAAGAAAATATATACTTACGGCACGACGATGATCTAATACGATGAATTCTATGATAGAGACGAATCGTTCCTATAGAAATACGAAAAGAAAACGCGTGAACAAGTACGAACGGTGTTCACCTGTAGAAATGGAATATTCACGTTCATTTTTTACGTGTGACGGCATTATCATCGCTCGTAATTACTGACACGCAGAACGTGTATGTACGATAGGATAAGTTCGTTTCAAAAGTTACCTGATAACGACCTAAACCAATAATTCGACAAAAAGCTATATAATACTTCAACGTTAAATTCTACCGACAAGTATAACTTTAGATTTCAATCTTTATAAAAATCTTTTAAAAATTATACTGCTAGTATTGTGTATAACATATTATTTAAAATTAATATCATGTATAAATCGAAGCATTTATAATGATTATCGATCGGTTACGATACTTTCATTATATTTCAAAATTGTAATTTATAAGAGGTTTTAAAACATCGATTAATACTTTATTAACTCTTGCTTACCTGTTCGTTGATAAGACATAAACATTCTTTATAAATCTATCTCTTATAATCGTTCTTTATTGAACAAAAATTTAAGAAGAACTGGTATGTAACAGCTGTGCCGAATAAGGTCTCAATATATAAATTTATATTTCTACGTGGCGTTACCTCACCAGCTGAGTACACAAATTGATATTGAAACTTCTTGGTTTGACCATTGTAGGTAGCCTAAAAACATCTGTATCAATAGCATCTTTATCTCTCGTATATCGTTTTCTTTGTAATTTCGTCTAAATGATAACGCAGCTCTCAATAATAACTTGAAAGAATGTTGCAATTTGAAATTCGGCCTAATTTTTATGAGAAAAATGAATTAATAAACTTTTTCGGATCCTTTTCACAATTATTTATTAAAATAAGTTATAAACAAAAATTAAAAAAAATAAGTTACATTTGCGTATAGTACCAAAATCGTTTTTCTTTTCGTTAAAATTATGGAAATTAAGTTAATACAAGAAAAAACGTAATGATAATGTATATCGCTTTGAGGTCATTTATCGCTAAGTTATGCGTAGAAGCATAAACCGGTATAAGTTTGCTGCGCTACGTTAGCAAAACTTTAATGCGTTATCGCCGTTGGCTAGTAAATATAATACCCATTAAAATAATATATCACTAAATACTATAAAAACATCGTTCATTGGCCTTGTAACTAGTAACATTTATTATTTTTGTGATATTTTTAACTCATGACTCATTTTTAAACAAACTGCAAAAAGAAAAATTGTAGTTTTATTTGTGATTGGTAGAGTACTACTGATACTAAGATATCAATTGGAATGATATTTTTTCGAAAATTGTGATATGTAGTCATTTCTTAATTTATTATTTTGTAAAAATGGAAGAATTTGATGCAATGAAAAATATATTATTCTTTCATTACTATTTTAAAAAAATAGTATAATTTTAATAAATAGCTCTGTGTATATTTTTACATATATCAAATATTTTATGAAATCGTTGTACTTTTAATAAATTAAATCCATTGATCTGAAGCACAAGTATTGTGGAAATACTCATTGTTTAGATATTGGGTTGTCTGGAAGTTCGTGCCGATTTTCGATAAGTGGCATTAGGACAGGTCTGAATATATCAGATTGATTGAAAACAAATGACATGTGTACATATCCTAAATTTTAATTTTTTAGAAAAAAGTTTGATTAAAATATGTTAATATTTGTTAGTTTTATACGCTTTTAAATGTGGAAGGAAACAAAGTGCATTATAGGCAGTTGATGCTTTTCTTCTACCAGGAAGGCAAAAATACCACACAAGCAGCAAACAAGATATGTGCTGTTAAGCTGTTGAGCGGAAAAGATCTTGAGGAAAGCGGAATGAATCACCTTTAGCCACCCCAAAAGCCGGTCTTCATCCGAAGAGTCATGCTCTGTGTCTGATGGGATTGGAAAGGTATTCTGTGTTACGAGCTTCTACCAAACAACTAAAAACAGCAATTGGACAGAAATGACCAGAACTAGCGAATCGGAAGGACGTCATGTTTTATCAGGACAATGCGCGGCGTCATGTGTCTTTGACTACTTGACAAAAGCTATTGGAGGTTGGTTGAGATGTGTTATCCCACCCATCGTATTCACCAGACATTGCACCCTCAGCTTTTCACCTATTTAGGTCATTAGTTCGATCGACATAAAAAATCATATTAAAAAATTTTTAGCCAAAAAACCTGAGAGATTCTGTAAGGATGGAATATTCAAGTTGCATGAAAGATGGGGAAAAGTTGTGGAAGAAAATGGCATCTATATAATTTAATAAATGTATATCGAAATTTAAATGTGTTGCGTTTAAATTTTCCTTAAGAATCGGAACGAATTTTTCGAACAACCTAATATCATACTATATATATGTATTAAAATAATTATGTCTAAATTAAATATTTGAAATCCTATGTATGCAGCTAATGTAGCTTGCATATAAGACTAATTTTTACTAGTTTAACAACTGCTACTTACTTTCACAGTTTACAGTTAAAAATATTTAATCATTAAGTACTTATGAAATTGTTAATTATAGGTGCAATTCTTTCAGGATTATTTAAATGTACATGATGAGTTCCTTCTACTTTGTGGTATTCAAATCTTTTAGCACCTAGTTTTATTTTATCTAATACTTTTTCATAAGATTCTGGATTATCAAATTTCATTCCGGGTACAGCACGAATATTAAGATAAGCGCACTTTATTCGAGATGCATATGCAAGTACTAGATCCAAAGATATCATACCCAATGCAGAAACCTAAAAATTAATATTAATATTAATATAAAGTTAAGACATAACACATTTAATATCTTATGTAACATATTTTACCTTCAATCGCGGATCACGTGAAAAATAATATCGCTCAGGTTCACCGGCAGGTCGTAAACCACGTTTCATTAATATTATTGCGCCTTCTTTAGTTATGGAACCTTTATAAGCATCTTCAACAATTTCAAGCACTTCATTATAATCGTAGGATGGAATACCACCAGATTGCAGTGATTCATATTTTAGAAATTTGTCAATATTATCACTAATTATATCAGGACTTTTTGTTATATCTTTTACACTGGGACTTGCAATATCTAAACTTATCATGAATTCTACTTCATCAGGAAAAGATGCAGCATATAAAAATGATATTGCTCCTCCTAAGGAATGTCCAAGTAATTTCACCTATGGAAATGACATTTGATTATCTACGAAGATATACATAAAGCAGAAGCAAACAAGAAATTAATATTGATTTAACATAAGTTATTATGTATGTACAAAAATATATGCATATATGTATATGTATATATATGTGCGTATCATGCATTTTGATCTTATAAGGCATATATCTTATATAATACAACATATAGATAGTTAGATATACAGTTTAGTATACATTTTTCAAGGCTGACTGTTACATTTATATAACAATAATAATAAAATAAGGTTTGTGGTATTATACATTATGTATAACAACAGTTATTTAAACTAAGGAGCGGTGAGACTGAATCCACTCGCTAACCTTTGTCCACTTGAAATATTTCACAATTCTACGTAGTAGAATAATACCATCCCAATAAACATAATAGTACTGACACTTTGGATAATGGGAAGATAAACCATGACCAGGCATATCCAAACAGAGTACTGAAATCTCATCAGATAATAGGGGAATCAAAGTGTCAAAACTGCCAGCATTGTCTTGTCGTCCATGTAATGCCACTATTGGTTGGATCCCTTTGGGACCCCACCATTTGCCTACAGGTAAATGATTATTGTGTCACAATGAAATAATTACTTAAAGAAAAAGAAAGAGAAACAGGGAGAGAAAAATTTAACTATTTTAAGTATATAAATATATCGGCATTCAAACTTCCTAAAAATAAATATCTTTAAATAAGAATTTTAATAGGAAACAAAGTTGCAGCTGATGAATTAAAGTTTGTTATCATTTTAATATATACATGTCCTGTAGTTATACAACGACACTACATGGTTCATAATACATAATTTGAAGCAATTAATATCAATGACAATGAAGAATGCAAAAACTTATCATAAGCACATAACAGTCAACCTTGTACCAAATAACTTTTATGATAATAATTCAATCATTATAAAGATGATAGTTATAGTGTTACAATTTCTGCACTATAAAGTTAAGATCATATTTATATATGAATTTATATATATTATGACATCATCAAAAACTGCAAGATACTTAGTAGTACTTTAGTAAAACTGAACTTTTGTACAAGAAGAATACAAAATTATAAAAGATCGTTGTATAACTTTTAATCGCTTGCTAACCTTGTTCCACTTATAATGTTTAACAACTCTACGTAGATTAATAAGCCCATCCCAAAATATATAATAAAATTGTCCAATGGGAAGATGGGAAGATAAACCATGACCTGGTAAATCTATAGCTAGAATGGCTACATTTGATGGTAGTAATGGAATTAATTTATCAAATGTTCCAGCATTATCTTGCCATCCATGCAATGCCACAATTGGTTGTTGATCAATTGGTCCCCACCATTTTCCTAAATTGATTATTATTGTACTATGATATCTTTTAATTTTTATTAGCATCAGTTAGTGACAATTTTTCATGATTAATAAAAATTTAATAAAATAGAAGATGAATTACTGACCGCTTATGATGCCCCATGGTACAGGTATCTGAATATCTTCAACGCCTGAAAATTATTGATATAGTGTAATAATGCTTAATTAGAAGTCTGTAACATAGAAATATATTAACAAATAATGAGTTAACTTACTATGGGTATTGTGTTCATTTATATTTTTAGTAGGAGTAGATTTTGTCAAGACTTTGTCAATTGTACTCATTTTGTTAATGATAGAATACTAGTTACTGTTTCAAATTTGCAGTGGATATTATGTTGTTTATATATATTTATCGATAAATCTCACTTTATGCAAATTTCGTAACAAATACGAAATTAATACTTGTCCTATTTATGATATAAAAGCGCAAAGTCATTCTCAATTATATAAAATGTGCACTTGTATATTATATATAAAAAATTTCAAAATTTAAAATATATATTTTCTTTCATTTACGATTTCCTAGACTACTTGTTCTTGAACAAATTTTATTAATAATCTAAAATTGATTTTATTATCAAACATACATGAAACTAATTCGAATATTTAGTATTATATAATTTTGACGACTATATTTAAGGATTTCACACCTGATAAAATATTCTTCAGACATTTGAAATGTTAAATATCACTTTAATGTGGAAGTTTTGTTAGGTATTAAAAGCTAAATAATTAGATAACACACTTGATGTTTAGTAATATTTAAGTAATTTGATTTAACTATTTATAGTAATAGCATATCGGAAAATATATTAACTACTCGTGTACCTACCGTCTTTCACTTACGATATGAGTTATTGATAATTTTACACTTTCGTATGGGTTTATTGGCTTAGTAAGAAGCATAAGATTGTTACGAGAAACATACGAATTATTAAGAAATTAGTAAGTGATGAATAATTCTAACAATGATACGATTAAAAAGTTGCAACTGAAGACGTCAATCTTCAAAAGAGAGTAACGTGGAAGAAATGACTTGTGATTATTAATATTTATAGACTGATTCATCCACATAGTGATATATAAGATTGTGGTATAAGGTCGTTATAATTATTATATTCGTTATAATATTTTGTAATAATATTGGTATTATAATCCCAAATTATTTTAGGTTGACTTTCTGTTAAATTCTGTTTTATCAACTGCTGTATACTATTAAAATGGAAAGCAAGAAATACATAATAAAAACTGTAATTCATGCAGGAACCAAAACTATTAATTTTGTACCTGGAACTAAAGTGCATATATTTACATTAATATTCTAATTATGATAAGCATAAATTAATAATTGTAATTAGAATTATATATTAATTTTTAGGTACTCTTTCACTTTAAAACAACAAAATGTGATCCAGGAAAAACATTAATAGACGATAGCAAAGCAATGGGAAATCCGATGGAACTTGTCTTAGGAAAACAATTCAAACTTGAAGTATGGGAGAATATTATACAGAAAATGGCACTGAATGAAGTGGCTTGCTTTAGAATTGACAAAAGTGTATGTTTATAATAATATAAAAATATATTCTAATACTTAAAACTGATATTTTAATACTACCTGTTATTCCAGTTAGTTGCAGCATATCCTTTTGTGTCTAAAACTTTGAGGGAAGTCGCAAAACCACAATCACAGAAGCGTAGCTATCATTGCTGCGGTATTGCTTTACAAAATGATGGAATTGGATACAACGATTTGAATGAACTCATTAAGTGTCCTCAAGATTTAGAATTTACAATTGGTATCGATCAATCTCATGAAATTAACATTATTTTTTTATCTTTTGCTTTTCCATAACTTATCTAAATATATGCATATTTATAGAACTTGTTAAGGTAATCTTACCTGATGAATATGAAAAAGAGACATGGCAAATGACTGAAGATGAGAAATTGAAAAGTATTCCAGACATAAAAGAGAAAGGAAATGCATTATACAAAGAAAAAAATTATGATCTTGCATGTGAGATGTATGCTAAAGGCATTGGAATATTGGAACAAGTTATGCTTGGGTCAGTATATAAATATGTTTACTATTTTCTTCTCTTATTATATCATATTTGTTATTGTTATATGTTATTTGTAGTGAAAAACCAAATGAAGAAGAATGGTTAGCTTTAAATCGTTTAAAAACTCCATTGCTTCTAAATTATGCACAATGCAAATTAATTCAAAAGGAATATTATGCAGTTATCGAACATTGCACAACAGTACTTAAACATGATCCAGGTTTGCTACTTTAGATCATATAAACTACTATAGATCATATAAACAAATTGAATATGTTAATAATATACATTATTCTTAGATAATGTAAAAGCATTATATAAAAGAGGTAAAGCATATATAGGTGCATGGGATAAAGAAAACGCTATCAAAGATTTAACAAAAGCTGTTGAATTGGATCCTACATTACAAAATACAGTTGAAAAGGAGTTACAAGCATTTTCTGCAGCTATTAAAGAAAACGATCAAATAGAAAAGAAGAAATTATTAAAACTATTTCGTTAAATGTATATAAAATTATTTAAATTATATAAATAGAAAGATAAAAATAAATAAATAAATAAATGAACAAATATATATATATATGCATGTATATGCATGTATATATGTATGTATTGTGTAACGAGCAAAATATTTTTATTAATTAATTAATATACGCACTTAAGCAATATGTAAGATATAAATAATGAATGTATAAAAAATATCATTTATGATAAATATATATGTATTTACAAAGTTGTACATTATCTAATCAATATATAATGTAATTAATGTAATCAATTGATATAATTAATTGACATTTTCCTATTGTAAAAGGGGAAACTTTATGACTCAGACGAGATACAGATCCAATCTATGCTTTATGACTCTTACTTAATAATATTTTTTATCTCATCTTTTGGAATTTTGCTTTACGCCATCTGTAAACCTCATTCTAGGAATAATGACTGTCGACCGACAGAAAAGTATCATGTTTGACATATGGTTCCATTTATTTCACGCTATTCTAATTAAGCTTAAAATATGGAATGTCGAATTTTCTTAAATACAGATTTGTATAATTATTCTTAAGGTAATTACGTAATTTAGTTAGCTATCATAAAACTATTATCTCGACATCATACGAACTTAACCTGTTATACCATTGATTTCAAGTTAATATGTATAATAATTTGTAAAAACGTCTCGTAAATAAATTTTTTCAGTGTTTGTACTTCTTCTTGTTGTTAATTGTGTAATATGTCGAATGAACTTTGAAACCCTTGTAAGACAAGACAAGATCAGCACAAGCATTGTATCAAAATTCGTTTAAAAAATGTATTTTAATATTTATTAATTAAGTTGCTTAAGACTGATAGAAAGAGGATGTAATGTTTAATATAAAAAATTTTTAGGTTTAGCAAATAAAAAATTTGTGTGAAAAATGAAGCTTGTGTTTAAGAATGTTGATAAAGATGGGGAGGGGTGAGTATTAATGTTCTTAATGAATCATAATATAAGTGAACAATAGAATTTAAAGAAAAAAATTATTAGGAGTGTGTCCCTTGTCCCAGAAAATACAGAAGATATGTGGCATGCGTATAATCTTATCGCTGAAGGAGATTTTGTTAGTTGTTCCACTATTAGGTAGGAACTTTAATGTTAATTGTATATGGAATAAATCTTAATACTTCATTTAATATTATTATATATGTAGAAAGGTGCAAATGGAATCTGCAACTGGTAGTTCTAACAATTATAGAGTCAGAACTACTTTGACTATATGTGTTGAAGGTATTGACTTTGATACGCAGGCATGTGTTTTAAGACTGAAAGGTAGAAATGTAGAAGAAAATAAATATGTTAAGGTAAAGTAATTTAGAAGTATTTAACAAATTATCAAAAATATATTTGACTTATAATTATTTTTAGATGGGAGCATATCATACGCTGGATGTAGAACAAAATAGAAAATTTACAATTACCAAAGTTAAATGGGATTCTATTTCTTTGGAAAGAGTTGATACTGCATGTGATCCTACACAAGTAAGATTGTAATAATAAGAGTAATAAAAAAAAATCACTGTAGGAATTTTATGAAACAGAATACTTTATTTTATTATATTTTAGAATGCAGATGTTGCTGCCGTGGTAATGCAAGAAGGTATAGCACATATTTGCTTAATAACTTCCAATATGACAATTGTTCGTGCAAAAATAGATCAAGTTATCCCTAGAAAAAGAAAAGGAAATGTTTCACAGCATGAAAAGGTTATATATATATAAAACTTGTGTTTAGATTAATGTTGAATATCATCAATAAAATTTTCATATTATATGATTTTTTTAGGGTTTAACAAGATTTTATGATAACATAATGCAAGGAATTTTGAGACACATCAATTTTGATATTGTGAAATGTATTATTCTTGCAAGTCCTGGCTTTGTCAAAGATCAATTTATGGATTACATGATACAACAGGCCATTAAATCGGATAATAAAATAGTATTAGAAAATAAAAGCAAATTCTTACTTGTGCATTCTAGTTCTGGTTTCAAACATTCACTGAAAGGTATATTAAATTCTTCAGACCAAGTGGATATAATAATGCACATCTTATTATCTTTTTTTTTACAATAGAAATATTAGCTGAGCCTACAGTGATGTCACGAATCTCGGATACGAAAGCATCAAGTGAAGTGAAAACACTAGAGACATTTTATACAATATTACAAATTGATCCTTCTAGAGCTTTTTATGGAAAGAAGCACATTGAAAAAGCTAATGAATCTCAAGCTATTGAAACATTACTTATTTCAGATAAACTATTTAGGTAAGCAATGGTAAAATAATCTTTCTTTTTTATAGTATATTATATTCATATATTTACAATTATAATAATTATATCTAGATGTCAAGATGTTAATATAAGAAAAGAATATGTCGAATTGGTTGAAAGTGTGAGAGATTCTGGTGGGGATGTAAAAATATTTTCGAGTTTGCATGTATCCGGTGAACGTAAGTTAGCGAGTTCTAAGTTGTTTAAGTTTTGATATTTTAAAATGTTTGTATAATATTTTTAATGTTCGATATAGAATTGGATCAACTTACTGGAATAGCAGCTATACTACGTTTTCCTATGCCAGAATTAGAGGACGAGAGCGATGGTGAAAGCGATTCAGACGAAGATAATTAAGATGTCTAAATAATACGCCAACGTATAGCTTTCTATATGTTTGTGCTGTGCGCAATCAAAAATACAATAAAATAAGATATATTAATAACAAAAGTCGCAGGTCTTATATATTTCTCATCTGTTGTCTTTCGTTTTATTAAACGTTTAAGAATATGTTATTGGATTTGTCGCATGGTGGCGCTGTTTTATATTTCTAAGTTCTTAAGTGAGTCTTCTGTTATTTTGTCTCGTGAAGCACGTGGATTTATTGTAAATTATTTTTTACACGTTTATATAGTTTTACATTTTTATTGCATAAAGGTCGTGATATAAAATGGTCGTAATAGGAAAGAAAAAGGTATTTGTTAAGATTATTTATGGTTTTCTTGAAAATCATTTATGTAACTGTAATTGAGGTTATTTTCTCTTATAAAGAATAGAGGAAATTTGAAAATATACATATTGATTATCTTTTAAAAATGTTTTTGTTTTATTGTTAAAATCTCTTTTATATTTGTAGTATCAGGCTGGGGAGGGAGCACAATTTATGTCAAGGAAAGCTGCCTTAAAAAAGTTACAGCTTACATTAATAGATTTCCGTAGATTATGTATATTAAAGGGCATATATCCAAGAGAACCACGTAATCGTAAAAGGGCGCAGAAGGGACAACCTGGTATTAAAACATTATATCACAAAAAAGACATTCAATTTTTGATGCATGAACCAATAATATGGAAATTAAGAGAATTA